CCGCAGGTCTGCGAAGAGGAGTGAAGGGGGCAGGTCCGGGGCCAGGTCCTCAGCTGGGCCCAAAGCCGAGGGTGTTTTTGTGCTCAGAGCTGAGATCACAAACCACTAAGGTGTCAAGATTAACAAACTAATGCTTTTGATACTCTCCTCCATCTGACCTCTTGCAAACTAGCTAGGACACAGGAACCTTCCTGGACTTCTTTTCACTCTGAGAGAGTACTGATGAAAGCCGGGGCAGGGAACGAGGGAGGCTGAGAGGAGCAACAGGGGAGCCCAGGCGGGACGGCTTTGGCTCAGAAAAGTCAGAGAAAAGGGGCCCTGGAGACAGTCCCAGGGGGAGCCCGGGGGGAGCTGCCGCTGCCCGTCACCCCCCGGCTGCAGGTCTCAGGACCCTAGGAAGCGCACACCTGAGAGGGGAGGTGGCAGGCTCCCAGGAGGGAGAGCATGCGAATTCCTGAATTCTTACGACACTAAAGCTGCCCAAGGACAAGCTCAAAGGACCGAACTCTATAATTCAAGCCCCGGAAAACCCACACCTGCCTTCCCAGCCGCACCCACCGATGTGGGGCAGTAAGTACATCAGCCCACACCCTGGAGTCCCACCTGGTCCTACCTCCAGACACAGGGAAGTGGCTTCACCACCCCCAGGCCTCCCGCACTGTGACAGCCGCCGTGGCCAGCTCTCCAGGCTGTGCCGGTCTCTCCACCTTGACTTTTGTACTTACTTTTTATTATTTTCCCAGGTTTTTTTAACTACTTACTTTAACAATTAAACAAACCTTTCCTCCCCACCCTGTGAGCAGGGACGGAATACACACTACACACTGAAGGCCCATCTGGCAGAGCAGGACACAGGAATGTTTTTCTTAAACCCATGGGGAGGGCAGGGCAGGCTGCGGGCCAACCCTCCCAGCCTGTGAAACCAGAGACTTCGACCGAAGGCGCAGTCCACTATCCTGAGTCACACAGAGAACCCAGGCAATCAAGCTCATGAGCATCAAGTCACCAGAAAAGGCGAATTTACCTTAATTCACAGCAAAGATAAAAAGCAAAGATGACAGGGCCGGGCCACCCCCGCTGTGGGGTGCGCCCTGAATGAAGGGTCCCTTCCCTGTCCCTCCTTTGCCCAAGAGCCCAGGACACCACCTCCGTCTTGGGTGACAGCCGTGACCATGGTCCCCACCACGCAGCACTGTCATCCCTCCAAACCACAAATCTTCACCTCCCGTTACCGAGGAAACCAGTCACTCACTAACAAGCCCAGGTGACGTGACTTCAGAAGCCTCCCCAGCTCTTCCTGCAACAGCCCCGCGAGGCAGCGGGCGACACGTCGAGGCCGACACCAGACTCACCTCCTGGGACGCTTCTGCTTATTCTTTGTTCGGCTTTTTCGAGTTGGCTTGGGCAGAATCCTCCTCTGCAAGGGAAACAGTTATCATGCAGCGGCAACAACAGGACCTTAAGTTGTCAGAGAAACTGTCAAGCTGCTTTAAAAACAGACACAGGACAGAACCTAAACTGAGAAAGCCAAGCCACCCAGACCGGCAAGTCCCTGAGAAACCCTCCCACCCCCTTTCCTCCAGCCGGGCCTTGGCGCCCCTGCATCCCTGCCTCCACCTGCCTCACCTGCCTCACCTGCCTCACCTGCCTCACCGGCGCAGCGTGGGCTTCGGCAAGTGATTCTCAGGCAGAAAAATCCTGGCTCAGGTGCCTTCGTTTGATCACCTCTTTAAGCAACTATGTTTTCGCCATTTGAACATTAACAGCAACAGTGTACTCTGCCCCTTTAACCCGCCACAAGCACACCTTCCCCAGCTCTCTACCATCTACACTAGTTTCTCTACAGTCACAACAGGGTTACTTGAATCACTCCACGTGCCCACACAGCCCAAACACGCATGATCTCAGCGAGTTCACGTCATAGAACCTCCCAGGGCACACAGGTACCTGGGCGATGAAGACCACATGCTTCCCGCTGAACTTCTTCTCCAGCTCACGTACCAGCCGGACCTGGATTTTCTGGAAAGACTTGAGTTGAGGAACTGGGACGAAGATGATAATAGCTTTCCGACCGCCACCAACTTCAATTTCCTAAAAAAGACAAATCCGGAATCAGCCTACGTGCCCACCAGCAGATAAGTGGGTTAAAAACTGTGGTCCATCTACACAATGGAATACTACGCTGCTGAAAAAAGGAACTCTTACCATTCGCAACAGCATGGGCGGACACGGAGAGCATTATGCTAAGCGAAATAAGCCAGTCGGAGAAAGATAAACGTCACATGATCCCACCCGTTTGTGGAATATAATGACCAACATGAACACAATAGACCCAGAGACTTAGAAGCATCCAACAGACCGTCCAACCTCAGAGGGAAGGCGGGGAAGGGGAGATGGGGGTAAAGAGGTCCACCGAAGGACTTGTGCGTGCACATGAGCGTGACCCATGGACACAGACACTAGGGGGGCGAGGGCATGTGCTGGGGGTGGGAGCGGCCGGGGAGAGGTCAATGGGGGGAAAAGGAGACATGTGCAATACTTGAAACAACAAAGAATTTAAGTTAAAAAAAAGACAGACAAATCCACAGTATAAGCTGAGAGCCTCCACGGTGCACGCTCAGGTGCCGCGTGCACTGTCAGACCGGAGTCCCGACTCCCGAGGCCCTTCTCCGGCCACTCTGCAGCCGTCCCATGGCCGCCAGCCCTCCGCTGTCACTCCTCCTGCCTCACGTGCAGGGGCCGCCGGACTATGAGCGCAGCACAGCTAACAGTCCACGGCGGGCAACTACGTTACGTTGCTTCCAACAACCACGGGCTGGCTCTGCTCTGCAGACTCGAAACCATGCGAGACACGCGTCCGAAAGGCCCCCATCGCACGCGCGCGGAGGACAACGGCTTCGCGAGTAAAAACGGAAACGCGGCCGTCGAGTAGGGAGCCCAGGGGTAAACCTGAGCCGAGGGGGTGAACCGCACACCCACCCCCGCAAGGATCAGCCCCGCCCAGGGCCGGCCCCGCCACGTTCCCTCGTGCGGGGACAGACAAGGTGAGACAGGCCGCCGGCCGCACACCGTCCTGGGGTGCAGCCCTCCGGGGACCCCGGGCTCCCGCCCCTGCGCCGGGGCCGACACCGGCGAAACGCACGCCGCGTGGCCTTACCTTGGCCGCGGTGATGTTCAGCTCCCGCAGCTGGGCCTTGAGGTCCGAGTTCATCTCCAGCTCCAGCAAGGCCTAGAGAGGGAGAGGGGCGACCTCAGCGACCCGCCGCCGGGTCTCCGTCCCCACCGCCCGCCGGGCCCGCGCCGGCCCGCCCCGCGTCTCACCTGGGAGATGCCGGACTCGAACTCGTCTGGCTTCTCGCCATTGGGCTTCACGATCTTGGCACTGGAACTGAACATGGCTCCCCCTGGAAACAGAGAGCGCTCAAGGCGGAGCGGGTCCCCGCGCCCCCGACCACCCCGCGCGCCATCGGGGGGCCCACGCCGCGTTATCCGCCGTATCCCCACCCGGCGAGCAGGGCCCGCCGCTCCAGAGCTGCCTCCAAAGCGTGTCCCCCTCGAAATCGGCAGAAAAGCTCGCGCGCACGGGAGGCCCCACACTTACTTGGGTGAGCGCCGGCCTGAGAAGAGGCCTGGGTCTCGCGAGAGCTCGTCAGATCTCGGCGGCGGAAAGGAAGAGGCGGAGCTAAAGGACCGGAAGTATCACTGAGACAGGGCGGGAGCCTAGAGAGTCCGGAAAAGGGCTCCAGGGGCCGGTGCGCCAGTAACACTCACCAAATTCGCACGGCTGGTAAGTTCCGCTGGGACCTGCAATCGGTGCGTGTGGATTCCCAGCTCAGGGACCGGAGGACAGGAGAGCAGTGGGGAGGCGACTCCCACACACGCTTCTGCACGGCTACTGCTTGGCCCTCCAGTGTGTCCACAGCGAGTTCTCCTTAGGCCTCCAGGACAGTGCAGGTGTCCTTGCACCCAGGAGCTCAGCCCCGCTCGCCATGAGAGTTACTTGACAAGCCTGGGTGAGGCATCCTCAGGCGTCACACTTGTGCTGGCATCGTTCTTGTTAACAGGTCCCTGTAGGGGCACCATTGCTGACCACCTGTAGGGTCATCACTTAAATCGGTTAAATAAGTAACGAAAGAACATTGCCCCTGGAAGATTGCAGTTAAAATGCCCTTAGCTCAGTAATTTCCCCCATCCCATGGGCTACCAGGGGGGCATTTTCTACTGCTACTCAGGCTGAGGGGCAGACTGGTCAGACCACCCAGATGACTAGCGGAAACCTGGGAGTGCGTATGGAAGGATGGGGCGGGGGGCGGGGGCCGGGGGGCGGGGCCCTCCCAGCGCAGTTGACACCCGGAGTGGTTAACACCCTTCTCCCGCCAACGAGTTTTCTTAGCTAGACCCCTACCATGATCCGTTGTAATTCATTATTTTAGAACAAATAATTAGCAGTTAAAAAGCATAAATGTCCATTTCAAAGACATTATTCAAATTTAATAACACATGTAATGTGCAGACTAAAATCTGCACTTTAATGAACATATTTCACGGGAAGTTCTCACCGCCCCGTTCCCCTGTTTTAAGTTTTAAACACAAGTGGTCTTTGTGATAAAGGCGCGCAGCCAGAAATTCACTTGGAGAAGCGGCTCCTAAGTAGATGTGACCCCGCGATCACGCTGGGGAGCGGGGTGCAGCTGTCACGCAGCACCTTCGCTGGGCCCCTCGGGTACCCCCTCTCATTTACAACCCACCGGCTTCCCAGCCCGGAGGGCACCAGGCCCCGCCCACCACTCCCAGGTCCCGCCCACACCCCGCGCAAACCAATCGCCCTAGACCTCGCCCCTCCGTAGGCTCCGCCCTCCTGTGCCCCCGCCCACATCGCCCTAGATCCAGGCCCCGCCCCGCCCCGGGACCTGCCCCCTGACCTCACTTTCTCAGTGACATCCCGGAAATCGACGAACCAGAGGAGCGCTCGGCTCCAGGCCCCGCCCACCGAGCCTGCCACTCGGGTTGACGTCATCTCCCCGCGCCACCGCTGGGAGTTCGTTCCGCGCGATGGCGGCGCGGAGCCGAGGGCCGGGGGGCCGGCCCGGGCCCGGGAGCGAGCGATGACCCGGCTCCTGGGCGCGGTGCACAGAGTCGCTCTGGCCGCCGTGCGCTGCGGCAGCCGCGGGCTCGGCATGTTCTACGCCGTGAGGAGGGGCCGCAAGGCCGGGGTCTTCCTGACCTGGTGAGAGCGTCCGCCGCTCCGGAAGTGGTTACCCGGCTCGTTGTCGGAGACCCCAGGGCTGAGCGGTGCTGGGCGTCGGGGAGGCACGTGCTGTGTGCGCCCGGTGACCCTGCAGACGGGCGTGGCTGCCCGCTGCCCACCCCGGGAAGCACCACCTGGGTCCTAGGGGCACAGCGATGCCGGGCGGGAGGGAGTGACGTCGCCTCTGTTCCAGGAACGAGTGCAGAGCGCAGGTGGACCGCTTCCCCGCCGCCCGGTTCAAGAAGTTTGCCACCGAAGAGGAAGCCTGGGCCTTCGTCAGGAACTCGGGGAGCCCTGGTTCGACAGGTAGTCCCCACGCACATCACTGTCACCTTCGCCTGGGCCCGGCCTCTCCCCTCCCAGATGCCCCTGTAACTGTGCCCGGCCTCTCCCCTCCCAGGTGCCCCTGTGGCCTGTGCACGGCCTCTCCTGTCCCAGGTGCCCCTGTAACTGCACAGCCTCTCCCCTCCCAGGTGCCCCTGTAACTGTGCCTGGCCTCTCCCCTCCCAGATGCCCCTGGGGCCTGTGCCCGGCCTCTCCGCTCCCAGATGCCCCTGTGGCCTGTGCACGGCCTCTCTCCTCCCAGGTGCCCCTGTGCACAGCCTCTCTCCTCCCAGGTGCCCCTGTGCACAGCCTCTCTCCTCCCAGGTGCCCCTGTAACCTGTGCACAGCCTCTCCCCTCCCAGGTGCCCCTGTAACTGCACAGCCTCTCCCCTCCCAGGTGCCCCTGTAACCTGTGCACAGCCTCTCTCCTCCCAGGTGCCCCTGTAACCTGTGCACAGCCTCTCCCCTCCCAGGTGCCCCTGTAACTGCACAGCCTCTCCCCTCCCAGTGCCCCTGTAACCTGTGCACAGCCTCTCCCCTCCCAGCGCCCCTGTAACTGTGCACAGCCTCTCCCCTCCAGATGCCCCTGTAACTGCACAGCCTCTCCCCTCCCAGTGTCACAAGCCTAGTTCTAGTTTCCATACAAATTTTGGACTTTGTTTTTTGTGGGGAAAGAGCCCCTGAGATTTTCACTCTGTGATCCAGCG